TTTCCCCTATACATAAAATATAAAATACAGCAATATATCAAATCAAAATAATTTTTCACAAAATTTAAAGTACATATAAAAAAGTAAAATTTATTTTTATTAGAGCGTAGATTGCATGATCCTTAAATGCAATCTACGCTCTAATAAAAATAAATTCGATAAACGAACTATAACCCAAATGATAAAACCATCCCACAAATTGCCGAACAGATCGTTAAGCAAAATAACCTTTAATATTAGCGCTGTGAAGTGAGTTATCAATAAGTAGGCCAATATGATGCAAACAAACTGAAATTGAATTAACAAATCTGTAAATAACACAAAAAATACAAACTTGTAACCAAGAAAGTCAAATTATATATGGACATGTCCACATTTCCACGCAACGAAATGGCCATTGTGATGTGTACCAAAAATTAAATTACTCATAACATGCATGTAAATTACCCACTTTCATTATTTTTTGTGATTTCTCTACATTGATTCAAAATCCATTGGTAAAACTTCTATATTACTGGTTTAAATTAAATACCCTACCAAATAGATTTTTGCAGAAAACAATTTACTGTTATTTCTATTAATATAACTATGCATTTTGAGCAAGCATAGTAGTTTTGCCAGAGTCACAGTAAATTTGCTTAAATTCATAGTTAACTTTAATGAAAGCATAGTAGATTGAACGGTAATAAGCGTGGTTCTATTGAAAATAAGTGTTTTCTGCAAAATAGTATTCCTAACTATGGTCCTTGTTTCAGTGCAGTAGAACCATACATACAAGCTACATGCAGAAAAAAATATTTTAAACGTAATAATATTTGACGTAAAATCAATAAGAATTTCATTTTGTTTTGGCTGCAAAAAGAAATCATTATTGTTTCAACAATCCAGTATTTTTGTTCCTCAAAACCCATGGATTGTTAAATCAAAAAGAAAATCTTTTCGAATTTACAAGAGCTTTCATGGTTTTGACGTAAGCTGTCAAATTTGGCAGCTGGTTCAACAACAAAAATATGTTTGTTTTTAAAAGAGATTTCTTGTTGATTCAATCATATTTATTATATGAAGTCTGACAATTCACGCAGTAGAAATAAAAATATATCCCAAGTAACAATTCAGCAACCATTTAGCATCCACTCTGATTTATGATGGTTTTATAACGGCAATAAACAATCCATTTAGTTTAAATATAGCATTTCAAAGTGTAAAGCATTCCTGCTTAGTATTTCAGCTTTCTGCTGTTTTAAAAACCTTTTGTTGTCTGGCAAGAAAGTCAAAAACTGTCTTGTTTTAAAAATAAATTTAAAACAGTTATCAATCCCTCCTTAAAACTGTTCTGTAATTCAAGCATAAACGTCATTAGCAATTGTTTATTAATGTCTTGATAAAATACTTTATAAACGTGTTCTATCATTATAAAAGCAACCATAAAACCATTAGGTTTTGCATTAGAGCAAAAAGCATTTATTGTTGCTGGCTTTTTAAAGTGCATCATTAACTCCCCAATTACTCTGTTTACAAATTGAGCTCAAAAGATGGTTCCTCATAGTTAATAAATGCCAAATTTATGACAAGGAAATCTCGAAGGATAGACGAAGTAGGATGAAAAATTCCAGTCGATTTCAGCAAAATTTACTTCTTTAGAAGAACCAGTACACCATCAACGACTGACCATCTGGCGTAGAAGAGCAAACTGAGCGGGGCCCTCGAATTCATAAAACATTGTCGAAAGTTTAAAAAACATACCAGTCTTCTCCAGATCTTGCGAAAAGATGACAACCGACAGCAAACCACTGAAGCTGTTAGTTAGCGGAGATTAGCTAGTTTCCAATCCATAGCAGCGATTTCATTCAGCGAAAGAATCAACTCTTCGAAAATTTCATTCAAGCGTACATCCCTGCATCGTTGGATGGTGCACTTCTGTAACCATCCGGAAGAAGGGGATCTTTTTCGGGAACGATTGCGCTTTCAGCTGTTCGAAATGCGAAATGTTAAAAAACAGTATCGCAAACTGTCTGAGTAACTGCTCCCAATCTATCGGGAGATAACCACCTGGAAGAACCCTGGATCCCACAGCACAACTATCGAAAGATATACAAACTATGACGTTTAACTTTTTGCAGGCAACTTTGCCTCCATAAATGTTGCCATAAATCTGAACGGGTTGGGATCAAGCAAAAGGGCTTTAGATAAATACAATTCAGCCTGCAAGTTTTCTTCATAAAAGCCATTTTAAAACCTTATTAATTTGTGGAGGAATTCTTGAAACCAAAACAACTTTTTCACAAATGACCCATGAAAATCAACTTTTATGCCACTGCCATGTTAGAATTAGTTTGCTTGTTTCTTACAATCTTCGATTTTCAATCTATATTTCCTTAGATATAACTATATTCTGGTAAATTTAGCAATGAGCAAACATTTAAATGCAAAAATAATAAAAAAAAATCTCGGCCAAGCTCGATCTGAAGAATTTTTTTTATTTTTCTATGTTAAATAATTAGTTAAATCGACGTTTTACTAAGGTGGACTTAATGTTTTCGATGTTTTCACGTACATTTCACATAAAATTTAATATGGCACTTAAAACTAGGCCACTTAATGAGAACTGTCGTAATAAATTTGAACATTCAACAAGATTTTTATACCATCAGTTTCTAATTTAATTATTTTGATAAGATCGGATTCATAAATCCTTTTCTATCTTGATTGATGATTTCCTAGTGGATACAGCATGCGGCTGGGGTAAGTGGCTCGGGAAGGGTTTTTATTGTTGCTAAATAGCTTTTATTGTAGCTTTCAAATGGTGCTCAATGCGTTCGTCATACAACCTTTTGCAGTAAATCAATCTTGAAGAGCTTCGAGAATACACCCTTCAGAACCTTCTCCAGGGTGGGCCAACTAGACATATTCTAGTCTTATTGAGGTTTTGGTGGACGCATTTATGACAAAATAACCTTGACCAGGGTTTTATGAATGTTGTTTTATAGTTGCTTTGTAGTATTTCATAAAACTTAAAATGTTACTTGGGATGTTTATTGATTCAAAAATCCGGAGTGATTAAAGTTTTCTTCGTAATTGCTTTTGAAAACAAACACGTCAATCACTGATTTCTCTTGAATAAAAGCTCAATCTCACAAACAAACTATACCAAATGATAGAGGAATCATTCCTCTACCTCATAGTGTTATTACTTTTCGAGATTGAGCTTTTATTCGCGAGAAATCGGTGATTGACGTATTTGTTTACAAATGCAATTACGCCCAAATCTCAAATCACTCCGGAAATAATATGGCTATTTTTTTATGTTTTGTTTTCTTTTTCACTGATCATCCTTCGGAGGGGAAGTAAAGCCGTTGGAAAACAAGATCGACAAAAAAAATCAAGGAAAAAAACAGAAAATTGATTTTATTCAGCAACTGCAGCTCGAACTGCAGCATACTTACTTACCTCAAGTCTCAAGATTTTCGGAAATTTGGCACTTATTTCCCGAAATTCACAAGTTTTGTTATTGTTTACATTTTTGTTCGGGTGAAAACGAGGGAATGGTTGGTAGTTATTTTTGCATTCATGGCCCGGGGAATGGACACAGCAAATAAATGCTAAATTAAAATGAACTATTGTTGGATTAATAATAGAATATTGTTATTTTTAAAATAGTTGCAGTTGAAAAGTGGCTTATTAAAACAAAAAGAATGCTATGTTGAATTTATTTGAATAAGTATTATTGAAACAACAAAATGCAATACAATTTCAACCGGAATTGTTTGTTTAAATACAACTAAAGTTTTGTTTAGTTCAATGCAAACAATTTTCTGTCCGTGTACTTTCAAATTCGTGCCCAAGACGCCATATTTAAAATACGTTAAACACTACCCGCATCTACTCATCCGATGGCGTCACACCATAAGCAAGGGCACGAACCCACGTATAATTTTATTGCCTTGGTTTGCGTCTCACCTCGTTTGACAGATCTGATCGCCCGGTTGAAAGTTCGAATCGCTCGTTTGACAATTCGAATTGTGGAAAAGCGAAATGCTCCTGTGGCATGTCGGTTCGTCGGTGGTAGAACCTTGCATTCGCCGATGCAAAAAAAAAAATTGATAAAAATGACCTACATGCAGGCAAAAGAACGTAAGAATTCCACAAGCAGGGTTGCTTCCACTCACTTGCTATAAAAAAATGATTTCCTGAATTTTGAAATCATTAGATGTTATAATGTGATTTTGTACTTGTTAGATACAAGAAGAGGTTGAAAGGCAAGTGTTTGACTCAGAAAACCTGTCAATTTCGCTACCAGAGTGTTACAATCAGCGATCTTATGATTCTTGAGCGTTCACTCAGAGTGAGCGCTCGCGAGTCGGAAAATTGCTGATTGTGACTATCTTAAAGCGAACTTGACAGGTTTCATGTGTCAAACACTTGCCTTTCAACCTCTTCTTGTATCTAACAAGTACAAAATATGATTAAACAGCTAATGATTTCAAAATTCAGAAAATCATGTTTTTATAGCAAGTGAGTGGAAGCAAGCCTGGTCCACAAGAAACACTTATGAATTTTAGCCACAAGAAATCAGTATGAATTTCATTGATTTACCTTATGAAAAATAATGTTGACAAAAAATAATAAATCGGAGCAGACTGGAACCGAACCTTGAACGTTGAGCTTACATGGCCCGTGGGTTGACCAATCGTCTTTCAACGCTTGGCAAGATTAAACGATTAAAGGCGTATAAGAGCTACCTCATGTTACCCGAAAATCATTCATAAGTCACACTTTTGAAATTCATATATGTTGTTCATAAGTCGAGCCTTATGAAATTTTTATGTCTATTTGCCTCAGTGTATGTATCACTTTTGCTCGCTACGGTTCAAATATGTAAGTATACATATACTTTAATATCAATTGTGACCAAATGTTTAATTTTTTACGTTTTCCAAAACTGCACAGAAGTAGACCTTAGGTATACGGTATACATTTAAACAAACATCATATACACTTACTTGACTGGTTTGGTTAAATTCCTATTAGCCCAATGATCCTCCAAAAATTTTCCAATCGACTCTGCGCATACGTTGAGATATAAAAGTTGTAATTATCATTGGTTGTTCATAATTTTATAACTATATAAAATGATATAAATAAGAGGATGCCGACTTCCTGAAAGAAAACATGTAAAACATGGAAAACATCTGGAAATACTTTGAACTATAGGGTGATGATTACTTAGAAGAAAAAAAAAACGGAAAACTTTTTGAATTAGCTTTTCCAGTAAACAGTGATTAAAATTTTTTTAAATTTTGTTGAATCTGATTCTATTTTATTATTATTAAAGGGTGATACGGTCAAAATTTGGTCAAGGGAAAACGCGTGTAAATCGGTGAAATCGTTTATTTAAAAAATCAAATTAAATTTCTTTTTCAAGTTCAATTAGTATAAAATTCAGGAAAAATATTCAGTTAGGCTTCCGCTTTTCCAAATCCGAATTGCCGGGCCTTACGCTTAACCCCTGCCATCAGATTTTGTACAGCCACCTTGTTCACCTTCTTCGCCGCAGAAAGCCAGTTTGCCTTGAACTGCTGCTCGCCCTTAGCAGTTTTTTGGTCTTCTTTAGGTTCCGCTTGACAATAGCCCAGTATTTCTCAATTGGGCGGAGCTCTGGCGTGTTGGGAGGGTTCTTGTCCTTGGGAACCACCTGCACGTTGTTGGCGGCGTACCACTCCATGGCCTTTTTACCGTAATGGCAAGATGCCAAATCCGGCCAAAACAGTACGGAACAACCGTGTTTCTTCAGGAAAGGCAGCAGACGTTTATTCAAACACTCTTTCACGTAAATTTCTTGGTTGACAGTCCCGGAAGCTATGAAAATGCTGCTTTTCAAGCCACAGGTACAGATGGCTTGCCAAACCAGATATTTCTTTGCGAACTTTGACAGTTTCATGTGCTTGAAAACATCTGCTACCTTTCCCCTTCCTTTTGCCGTATAAACTCCTGTCCCGGAAGCTGCTTGTAGTCGGCTTTGACGTAGGTTTCGTCGTCCATTACCACGCAGTCAAACTTCGTCAGCATCGTCGTGTACAACCTCCGGGATCGCGCTTTGGCCGTCGTATTTTGTTTATCATCGCGATTTGGAGTCCCTACCTTCTTGTAAGTCGATAGTCCGGCTCGTTTTTTGGCTCGATGCACGGTTGTAGACGATACACCCAGCTTATTTGCGGCATCTCGGAGAGAGAGGTTAGGGTTTCGCTTGAAACTACCGGCAACTCTCTTTGTCGTCTCAGCGGCTTCCGGTTTTCGATTTCCCCCCGATCCAGACTTCCTGGCTGTCGACAAACGTTCCCCAAACACTTTAATTACATTTGTAACGGTTGATTTGGCAACTTTTAGCGATTTTGCCAACTTTGCGTGCGAGTAGCTCGGATTTTCGCGATGCGCGAGCAAAATTTTGATACGCTGCTCTTCTTGTTTGGACGGCATTTTGACAACTGAAGAGTGAATTCCAAAATCAAAATAGGAGCAACATTCTACACACACACACCTTCAAAATGAGGGGTGTTCAGGTTTTTTAAATGCAAAATTGAAAGAAATACGTTAAGTTGATATTGACCAAATTTTGACCGTATCACCCTTTAATTTGTTTGTCAATATCAGCATTGAACCCAACCCCAATTATGGTTTACTTGTTTAAACCAGCGTTGGGGCTGCATTGACTGATATTGACAAACAAAAATATATGTATGTATTTATTTATACATATTTACATTCAGTGATGGGTTTTTCATTACTTTTTGTTATAGAATTCTAACGTAAAATCACGTAAAACGTAAGTCTGTAAGTGTCAGCCACCTCAGTCAGGAGCACTTCTGAGACTCAATGACTCCAATAGCCACAGGGTCGGCTCACTTACCGATTGCAATTTCGCGGGGTAGGGAATGGTCGCACGTGACACACAGAAAAAAAACTCCACAAGCACTTCACTACTAAAGTTCAAAGATTTATTTAACTTTCCTAACAACTTTTATTCTCCCTCTTTTGTTTCTTTAGTCACTCCTTTCGTCTCCCACTTTCTTATAGTTTACACGGTAAAAAAAAGTACTCAAAAGTAAGTTCTTTTCACACATCTCAGCACTATAGTGCGGGAACCCAAACGTACACACTCAGAAATGACGTTTGACTTCGATTTAAATAGGTTACAGCCCATCTAACGTGAGCCCAACTAAAACGTAGCCCACTTAAAGAAAGCCCAACGAGCGAAATTCGACTGTAATTGAATTTATTTTAATAAAAACTTTGGGATATTTTTTTATAATTTTAAAGGGAGTTAGTTTTGATTGAACCCATTCGGTACTAATTTATTATAAGCACGAACTTTTTACGAGTAATAGCTAGGACGTGTTTTTTGCTGCAATTTTTCGTCAGCGAATTAAGCTTTTTTTTGCCTTGAATTTGTTAATTTGTGTGCTGAAATTTAGTTTCAAGTGTTCATAAAGTTATCATTTAGTGATACATCGTGTTTTTTCCTGTGTTGAGGCGTCCAGTTTTGAAGCCAAATTAGATTAAAAAAGAGAAGAATATAGCAAGTGAAAAATAGAAACATGCAGTGACAAAAGAAAGAAGCAAGAAAAAAAAGGTCCGCCTTGAGTGCTTCGGTTGACCTTGAATTTAACCTCCAAAATCTACGTCGCAGCTTCAGTTCAATTGTTTGGTGTCGGTTTAATTGCCTCCCGGGAGCCCAGTTCTCCGAGTTCGGATGCCACACTTTCGGCGCGTAGTTCTATTGAGAGATTCGTCACCGTGGACGAGTTTTAATCCGGTCCGATTGGTGAATTAGCCCGGAAAAGTGCTGATAATGAATCCGTTGCGAGTTTTGGTGGTGATTCGGTGGCAGACGTTGCCGTGAATCAGCAAGTTTTCCGCTTGCAAAAGTGTTCGGCTGCTGGTCTTTTGATGGTGTCGGAGATTGCATCTAATTTGAAAAATGCCTCGCTCAAGACTTGACGGGGTGTTCCTAGGGAAAGCACTAGACGCGAACATCCTCCCAGGCATGGCAGTGCAAGAAAATTTGTGTTCGGAACTACGTAACCCATGGATTGGGGGATCAAATTAACATGGTGAGACCAGTCCAAATACTTTTTACAATAAAAAAACAGCGGCGCCGGTGGTGTAGTGGTAAGCGTGATTACCTTTCACCCCAGCAGGCCTGGATTCAATCCCAGTCGGCGCCGCCGGGATGTTCTGAGGCATAACATCTCTGATCACGCCTTCCTTCGGGAAGGGAAGTAAAGCCGTTGGTCCCCGGTTCATGAGTTGATGGGTCGATAGGTAGGGTCCAGGTGTGGGAGCTGCCTTCCTGGCGTCGGTAGTATTGGTGCTCAGCACGGAAAACAAGACCGACGGAAAACAAATCAAAGAAAAAAAAATACAATAAAAAACATAAACTAAATACGTGCCAGGATTCAAAAGAACATTTTGAAGCTGAAAGTGTGTGTGTGTGTGTGTGTGTATGTGTGTGTGTGTGTGTTTGTTTGTAATTTTAACACACACACACACACACACACACACACACACACACACACACACACACACACACACACACACACACACACACACACACACACACACACACGGCGAGACGCTGGAAGAAGTGGAAGTGTTGTCAACCGAGGCAATCGACATGATTGGTAACTGGATGCAAGGAGCGAAGCTGCAGATAGCCCACCACAAAACGGAAGTGTTATTGGTCAGTAACTGTAAAGCGGTACAGCGGGCAGAAATCACCGTCGGGGAGCACACTATAGCCTCGAAGCGTGTGTTAAAATATCTGGGAGTGATGATCGATGATCGGCTAAACTTCAACAGTCACGTCGAATATGCCTGTGAGAAGGCTTCGAAGGCCATCAACGCGATAGCTAGAATCATGCCGAACAACGCTGGTCCCAGCAGTAGCAAGAGGCGTCTTCTGGCCAGCGTGTCATCATCGATACTGAGATATGGAGGTCCAGCCTGGGTTCCAGCGCTGGAAACGAAGCAGAACCAAAGGAAACTGAGCAGTACGTTCCGGCTCAAGGCCATGCGAGTCGTGAGTGCGTACAGAACCATCTCGTCGGAACCAGTATGCGTTATCGTCGGTATGATCCCAATCGGCATCATCCTGGCTGAGGACAGCGAGTGCTACAGGCGGAGAGAAGCCGGAAGAGTACGGAAAGCTGTGAGAGTGGAGTCATTGGCTAAGTGGCAACAGGAGTGGAACACGACGGAGAACGGTAGATGGACACATAGACTAATACCGATTCTTTCGACCTGGGTGAACAGAAAACACGGAGAAGTCAATTTCCACCTAACGCAGTTCCTGTCTGGCCACGGCTGCTTCAGGAAATACCTGCATCGGCTCGGACACGCAGCGTCACCCCTGTGTCCGGAGTGTGGCAACGTCGATGAAACGCCGGAGCATGTGGTCTCTGACTGTCCACGGAGATGCCCGTCCTTAACGTGGAGAATGTCGTCGTTGAAATATGTCGAGAGGAGGACACTTGGAATGCCGTCAGCAGGGCAGTCACGCAGATTATGTCGGAGCTGCAGCGTAAATGGAGAGAAGAGCAGCGATGGCAGATGAGAGAGTAAGGAATGGGTTGTAGTGGAGCTGCACTAGGCAACTAGTGGATACCACACCGTGCCAACTTCACTACAGGCCAGGCTTCCTGAAGCTTTCCTAAACCTAACTATAAAAAAAACAAAAAAAAAAACACACACACACACACACACACTCACTTTTTACGAGTAAGAGCTTTTTGAGTGTTTTTAAGTTATTTACTTAAAAAATATAATCAAAAAGCACGGATTTTTGTTTTTGCTAAGCCAACCAAACTATTCTGCAGCTGAACTCCGGAACTCCCTGACTTTATTCAAATTCCATATTTTTTCCATCTCTCGAAATTCTACGAAGATCTCTGAATAGCTTTGCACTTCTGGAAAGACACCTATCATCTAATAATATTCTTGAACATCTGGAAAGTTCATGGAGCTTTTTTGAAGTAAGATCTCTGACAAACTGCAACGAAGTTCCC